CTGTTTTTTCTACTAAATGCTCTAACAACGATGCCCCTGACCGGGTATTTTAATTCACCTCAGCTTTGTGTATTTTTCTTCTAACTTCAGGAGATCAGAATCCTCCTGGACTGCTACTTCTGGTTATTGGGCCATGGAGAACACTCTGTGAATTCCTCAAAAGTAGAATAATCAGCTTAAGGAAATTTCAAAAGCCAGGTCACTATGCCACACTAGAACAGAGAGCTCAGGACATCCAACAATGGGTGCACCTCTCCCTTACCCCACAGTAACTTTGTTCTCTATTGAAATGCCAACGGAGAACAGCTGGCCTCTCAAGTCCTATTAGCAAGACTTCACCAATGTTGACCTTGACTTTGGTCATGTGACCCAGTAATGATGCTTGGCAGCTTTTTCTATGCAGTGATGATTTGTCCTTGGTCAGCCCACATGAATGGGCTGGAAATTGTATTCTGTCCCCTCTCTTTCTATCAGCATGGGCTTTTGGATGCTAGTTTTATGCTGGGGGGTTATATCAAGGCTGTTTATTATGTTGCTCTTATTCCTGTTTTGCTGTTGGGAGCTCCAGTGGGCTCTAATGCCCACTTGACATGTCTATTGGGGTCTCTCTATTGCTTCCTAGCACTACAGATCTTTCTGGATGGTGATAGTCTTACAGCTCTAGTCCTAGACTGGGTCATTGCCCTAAGGAGCTCTGCATCCTTTGAGTGGACTGTAAACAGAAAACCCAAGATCTGGACACAATTTGGGCTGTTTTATCTTGAAGGTTCCTTCTCAATGAGATGGCATTGACAGCAAACTCTGTAGCAGGAAACCCAACCCACTGCTATTCCAGGGCACAAATCATGCCTGTTGTCAGTTCTTTGTTAGGTTTACACTTTTGGTTTGGAAAAGTCAATGTCACTGGCCTCTGCAAATATTTGAAGAACACAACATGTCATGGTCAACCAGGAAAGCATGTTCAGAGTTAAGACTCCCCTAGGTGAACTCAGTAGAATGATGCTTCCTAAAATACCCCTTGTGGAGTGAGCTCCCAAGTCTTGTTTTCTGAAACACTGGCTCCAATTGTCATGCTAGGACATGACCTGCATGAAGGTGTCCTAGCTTTTAGCAAACATCCTCCTTCTAAGTTTTTTGTGCATCCTTTTCTGGAGAGTGCAGCAAATATTCTCTTGTGGAAGATTATTTGAAAGTTAACACACCATGTTCTTACTAGAAGCATGAAGTTTCTGCCCTCAGAGACCTAAGGAAGAGGGAGAAAGAGCTTCCCAAATGTAGGGCTCCTGCCCTTGGATGGCCTTCTGCTAAGTGGGGCATTAGATTTTGTTCTCATTGTTCCTAAAAGGCAGAGCTAGATCCTTCATGGATGTGTGTGTGGTTAACAGCTCTGGGGCATGATCTTTGTCCGCCCTCTTTTTAACTGCACTCCCTAGAGAGCAGATCACTCCCTACGAAGGGCTTCAAGGTGGTATCATCCATATGAGAAGGTCAGAGGAAGGAATTACCTGGGTCACTTGCTACATAAGTGTGTTCCCACCATGATTCTGACATGCAGTAACACCTTCATTTGCTTTGGTGCTGTGACTTAAAAGCCACTTTACAGTGACTTTACAAAACCCAAAGAGATTGCAACTTGTGTTTGAGGCATTGTTTCGTGTTCAGATCATCTCTTGCTGCAAAACAAAGTGCAATCATGATTCTCTGGGAAGCCTGAGTGTTGGGCAGAATATGGCCTCTTTGTCATATCCTCCCCACTAAGGAAACAGAATGCTCATTTAGGAAAGATCCAATGCACAGATCCATGGCAGACCTGAGGAGTGGTTTATAGCTTCACCGCTGTGGAAATGTTTAGGGCCTACCATAAAGCAGCTCTGGAGAGTGAGGGATCGTTCATGTTTGTGGGATGTGATAGAGACAGGGAGATAAATTGTCTCTGGTGTCATACTCAGTGCTGTTTGAGAGTTATTTGAAATCGCTGCTATGCCTGGGCGTGAGTGACATCACACTATTGGAAGCCAGCAGTGGGGAAAGGGGGCAGGCCACTTGTCCCCAGTCTCCAGATTGCTAGATCTGAGGGAGTCAGAATGGGGGTGAGTCCTTTTGGTAAGCAAGCATTGTGACTAAAGGACTGTACATCTGCCGTTGCAAATCACTTCAGCATGCTGCCACATGCCATTGAGCCACAGGGAAAGGCCCATCACACGTATAAAGTAAAACATTTACAGTCCATTTACATGTACTGTCTTACCATGGCCAGCCTAATTCCATGAAACTTACATTACCCAAGTGTAAATGATGTCATGTTCTAAGATTTCAGTTTTCTGTTTTCACATGACTGCAACCGATTTTCTGATGTATTGTTTTATTTTAGACAAGACCTGTTGGATTTTAGGAAAAGGAAATAGATATTTGACAGGAATGACATGCTTTGAACACTCTCCTACAAAGTTACGTGTTTATACTTTTAAATTAAACCAGCACAAAATTTAAAGTGCTGTGTCTCAGCCCTGATGCATCCATTCTCTTTCCAATCCTGTCCCCTCTCTTGCTCCTAGAGGCAACCCCCCCCCCCAAATCCAACCCTGTGTATCCTTTGGGTAGACTGTAATTGTAGTGAACTATGATACTATGGGAAATTCTTTGGATTAATTATAATAGCTGAGTCTTAATTCTTAAACAGCCATTAATTACCATTTCTCTGCCCTACTTTAAACAGTTAATAATTGTCTTATCATTCTTCTTAGCTGTGTTCTTAACCTTTGTTTGGTTCCAAATTCTCTTTGTGTAAATCTGTTGGAACATATTCCAACTCAGCTGGTGTGTGTCTCGCTGGCAGTATAACTTGCTGATCTGTGCACCTGGCACAGCCTGTGCCTCTTTCTTGGGTTCACCTGACAACTGTCTGTTTTTCTCTTTCTTCCCCTGACTCACCTGATTTGACAGATTATACCCTAAGAACATTCTGCAGGTGTGTAGAAGCTGTGATGGTCAATATCACCAACCTGGCAGAATCTAGAATCCCTGAAGAGAAATCTCTACTTATGCCTATGAGTTGAGGTGAAAAGAGCCACCCTAAATGTGTAGGTGCTGAGGGGCATGGACATCCATCTGCTTCCTGACTGGATGAGGAGATCAGCTGCCTCGTACCCCTGCCCCCATGCCTTCCCCACAGGGATGGTCTGTTCCTTCAAACAGTTGCTCTCCAGTATTTTTCCAGAGCTAAGACAAGTAGCTAATACAGAAGGTGACTGTTGTGAGGTGTTGAGTGCTGAAGGGTCTTTTCTCTGAAAGATTGCTCAGTCACAGTTGAGTTGGGAGTTCTAGGAGAGAAATCACCTCTCTGTAAAGCCTGTCCCTGCAGGTATCCTAGCTCTCAGCACTGCAGGTTGTGTCACCCCACTGCTGCTAATGTGCCCTGCTGGGCCTCTCCCCATCCACTGTCTCCCAGAGGTGGTTCCTTTCAGCTTCCCTCGTCTCTCTCTGTGGAACTCCTGGTATCAGAATATTAGACTTATTTTATTTATAAAAGAAAAAAATCTAGCATCATTCTACTTTTTTCTTTCTTTCTGGTTTTTCAAAATGAGTTCTGTGTAGCCCAAACTGTCCTGGAACTAGCTCTGTAGACCAGGCTGGCCTCAAACACAGAGAATTGCCTGCCTCTGCCTCCCGAGTGCTGGGACCTTTAATCTTGAGCTCTGTTTTTGTGGCTGACTCCATGTTCTTCAGCTGATGCCCTTTTTATTTCTATGTTCATCCTCCTAATGTTTGGCTTTTTAAAAAAAGAAATTATTTACACAGCATTCTGTCTGCAAGTATGCCTGCATGTCAGAAGAGGGCACCAGATCTCATTACAGATGGTTGTGAGCCACCATGTGGTTGCTGGAAATTGAACTCTGAAAGAGCAGCCAGTGCTCTTAACCTCTGAGCTATCTCTCCAGCCCGTCTTGTCTTTTCTGGAACATTTCCATTCTATACTTACTTGATCCATGGATATTGCCTCTTTACCCATCTGAGAATGTCAGGGTGACAAAAAGGGTTTTCCTTGGTTTTTTGTTTTTTTAAAATCTTTCTGCATTGTCTTAATTTTGTTTTGATCTAGAGGCTAATTACCAAAGTCTGGGGACTCCTGGTTGTCTGTTCATGCTTAAAAGCTGTGACTGAACACAGGGCTGAGATGTCACCTGTGTGAGCCTCATTGGTGAGACCCCTTCTTTAGGAGCCTGAAATCTTCAGGAACTGCAGGTCTTTCTTATGCCAATGAGAAGCTGTGGGACTCAACTGCTTTCTTCGAGCTGAGGAAAAGGCAGGGCTATCTAACATGTCCACTGCCCGGAGTCCCCAGAACTGTGCCCTTGGCTGTGCTAGGCACCATTTCTCCTTACCCAGAAACTAACCTGCTCATCCCAAGCTGTCCAGGGCAGTGTATGAACTGCTTACAGCTGATTTTAACTGGCCTCCCATGGGCCATGCTTCCCCGCCTCCTAATCTGAGGGGAAGGGAAGTGAGTTGTGTATTTCTTTCAGATTAAGGTTCCATTTTCTGGATTTTGACTTTTCATACTTGCCCATCTGCTTTCCCATCCAGCTTTTGTGGTTGTTGTTCCTTCTCTTACCCTTGTAACATTAAAAACTGTTGGGCTACACTCCAGTAGTTTGCTAAGGCTGTAAGTCACATTAATGGACATGTCTACTCAGAACTGAGTGAGCCGTGGAAGACACTGGTTAGGCCTCAGTGAAAGCAAGGTGGTCTCCTTTCTTAGCCCAGTTACCTATTTAGATATCACCTACAGTGGATGCGTGCCATGCTGGCTATCCCTATGTGGCAAGTGCAGCAAATGATCAGCACCCACTGCCGGCAGGTGAGAGCAAAGCAGGAATATGTAGGTGCAAGCCTGGGGTGCCAGCTAGATGCCCAATGAGCAAGTTCACCATGTGGTACCTGACGTTTTCATTTCACTTGTTTATGCCTTTTCCTCAATGTCATCCTGTCTCACCCTTCAGCTCTGTTTTGTAATGTTCTGGACCCCCAACGTATCTGAGAAGATTCTGATTGACATCATCGGAGTAGACTTTGCTTTTGCAGAGCTCTGTGTCATTCCTCTACGTATCTTTTCCTTCTTCCCGGTACCAGGTAAGGAGCAGGGAATGGACAATTGCAGTTTATCCTCCTGACCAATGGAATCATGTCACCAGCAAAAGTATAATTACTTCACTGTGTGCTAGAAAGATGCAAAGACATTAGCAAGCAGGCTGATCATGCATCAAGCAGTACAACTCATTTTGTAAGATCCAAACACAGGAGGAGAACCAAGGGGGCAGTGGGTAGAATTTGTGGGAGACAGTTGGCCTGTCCTGTCTTGATTATTGGGGTTTCCCAAATGTGCATGAATTACAGTCCATAGAACATATGCCAGAAAGCCAGTTTTACAGTAGGATAATTTTCAGAGTTAAATGAAAAATAAAAAAAAAAAAATTGAGCTCACTGCTAAAACTATGAAAGGCAAACTATGAAAAGACATTTAGAAAAGACAAGGTCCAAATGGCTCATGGCCAAAATTAATGTCAAACCATACATGAGGGAAGCCGGCTCAGCATTGAGGTTGCCTGACATGATGCCGGGGGATGGGGCGGAGGGGAGTGATCAGGAAGCAACCATTGTTATCAGAGCTGTTTACCTGTGCTCTGTAAGTGTATGCTGTCTCTAAAGGGAACCTACTAACCTCTAATGGGGCTGCCTATGAGAAGAAAGAGCAAGGTCTCAGGAACTGATTAGAGGAAGACCTTTGTACATTTGCTTCTGGTCTTTTAAACTCCATACAGAATGCATGACAACTAGTCAAAATATATACAAAGTTGGGAATGTTAGCTATATGCTGGGGTTAATCCACAGCAAAAGAAATGTGTCTTTATGTTTAGTAGGTTTTGTCCTATTCTACTTTGTTTTTATTTTAGCTTATTTTATTAGTAGTAGTAGTAGTAATAGTATTTTAGAGAAAGGATGTGGATTTGGGTGGGTGGAGAAGACCTAGGAGGAGTTGGGAGAGAAACCATGTCAAAAAAAAAAAAAAAAAAAAAAAAAGGAGTTGGCCAATGCCGAGGGTCTGGAAGGCTCTGGAAGCCTCTGGAGGCCAGTTCTTAAGGCTGTCACATTCTGAGCTGGGGCAGGGGTGAAGGAATTGACAGAAAAGCATGTAAACAGTGGGTGAGCAAGCTTTGGGAAGTTGCTGGCAGCTGGAGAAGACTGCAATTGGAGATGAGACATCTGCAGTTCATGTTCCCTACCGATTAATGGAAGGGGCTGGGGACACAAGCACAGCAGGGACCAGGTGGTCTCCTGGGTGGGGGCAAGCTCTCTTGGTTGCCTTCAGCCTCAGCTCTGCCACCTTCCTGTAAGAGGAAAAAGCTCAACAGCTGCCAGGCCCAGTGGCTCTTGACAGTGTTAGGTTTGGGCCATCCATCGGCACACACTATGACTTCTGCAGAATACACTGTTGTTAGACCAAGAAGACACCAGGGCTGTGAACGAAACTCGGTGGTAGAGTGCTTGCTTAACATGTTGACACCCTGAGTTCAACCCTCAGCATGAGAGGGGTTAAAAAGAGAAAGTGGCAGGAAGTAAGAGATACCTACTCCAGGAGGCTTTGCTGGCATTGCCCAGAGGGGGTCAGGGCGCTTCCTACCAACCGGGGCAAAGATCTGTGCTCTGCACAGCCACAGTTGTGCATGTGCTGCCTACCTGTGCCTTCCTTCACATTCAGTCTGGATGCCCAAGAGTGGGTGTGGGTAATACATGCAGTCACAACAGATTGGATGAGTAGTGACAGGAGGGAGAAAGGAAAATGGCTAAGGGTGGGGTGGTCATGCTGGCCCAAGAAGACATAGTGGGAAATGGGGACAAGGTCATTCTCATTTCTCTGCTGTTCCTATCTCCTTTGTTCTCTCAGCAGAGAATAGCAGAGTGGCAGCTTCTGGTCCCAGCCTTTCTGCTCATGCAGCATTGGTGGTGTCTCTTTCCCTGAAGCTTTCCCTCTAGGGGAGGGTATTCAGCTGGACTGGGGGAAGAATACCAAGACTGGGCAAGGCCATCCTGGGAATAGCCAGGCCCACTGGAACAACAGTGACCCCTACAGCTGGCCACCTAGACACAGGACTGAGGAGGCAGGAAGCTGTGTAGGATGGGGTCTGACCCCAGCTAGGCTCCAAAGTAGGGATCAGAACCATAGGAAGAAAAGTTACCAGCCCTGAGTCACAGCAGCTAGGCCGGGAGCTCCAGCCAGTCAGTAGTATTTAGAGTTGCTGCCCTGGGCTCCCAGCAGAGGATAGGATGAAGCAGAGTAAAAGCAGCAAACCACACGGCTGACAAGTCCTCTCCTCCACAGTGACTGTGAGGGCTCATCTCACTGGATGGTTGATGACACTTAAGAAAACCTTTGTCCTGGCCCCCAGTTCAGTGCTACGGATCATCGTCCTCATCACCAGCCTCGTGGTCCTGCCTTACCTGGGGTATGTGTTTATGGTATTTGGCATAGACATGTAGCAAGAGTCCTTTGCCACTGAATATTCTATCTAGAGGATTAAAATCTGCATAACCAACTGAAATCCCCAAGCATATTAGAGCTAGAAATTCAGGATGCTTGTCTGCCTGGACCTGTGAGCCGTGAGAGGCGGCCACACTAGCCTCACACAGGTGATGCTCAAAGCTCACTTCCTGTGGTGAGAAATGTGCAAAGCAATGGCAGGGAGAAAGACCCCACCTCAGAACTCCTGACATCTAGTCAGGGGGACTCTGAGATTATACCAACGGAATGGGGCCTGACAGCTCAGCGCCGAGTCACACAAGTCTACCACAAAGGTGGCTGTTTGTACGATAGATACCTTTGCTCTGTCCCTTGCTGGTCTATAGTGTCCATGGTTTATACAATACCAGTTGAGTCTGTCATTGACTTGATAAGGTCATGACTTGGTTTTAACAGATAAAATATCTTTGTGTTCTCATATCCAGGGTGCATGGAGCCACACTAGGTGTGGGCTCCCTTCTAGCAGGATTCGTGGGAGAATCTACCATGGTTGCCATTGCAGCATGCTATGTCTATCGGAAACAGGTGAGAAACTGTGGTAACAGCTGTGGGGACAATCAGGACCTCTGTCTGCTTTCACCAATAGTTTCCCTCATCAGCTCTGTGTCAGGAAGTCTGTTCTTATCTGGCTGGGCTACCTCACTGCTTCCACACCACACCCACTCCGTTCTATAGACCCTCAACCTGACAGCACATAGCCAGTCTGTCCTGAAGGCAGGTTTTCAAACTGCATGGGGGATATTTCTTTCCTCAGATCACAGAGAACTCTTGTGAAGTTCCTGAGAGTTTTCTGGGACCTGAAGCCCTCCACCTCCCCCACCTTTTTTTTTTAACCTAGATGAGAGTGACCAGGGAGTGGATATAGACAGATGAAAAGAGCCCAAGGCAGAGCCCAGCATGCCTATGCTTTCAGGCTGAGGGTTACAAAGGAACCAGCAAAAATGGAAAGGAGAGCCCACGGAGGGATGATGGAATCCATTGTGAAGGGTGGACTTGAGGGGACTGGTGACCCTGCCCATGCGCCTCATGGCCTTAGGAGTCAGGAGAGAGGGGTGGAAATGAAGACTGAGTGTGGACAACTCTTTTGAGTTGTTTTGCTCTCAAGAGAAGAGGCCTATAAATGTGAGTTTCAGAAGACCAGTTAAGTTGGGGTGACATCAGTGACTTGCTTGCTTTGGGAACTGACCCAATGAATGGGAAAATACTGGAAGAGGGAGAACAGAGCCAATCAGCCAAGAGCACACTAAAGGGGGTGGACAGCTGAGATGGAAATCCCCACTAAATTTGGGGGACAGTCATGGGACCTCCTCTGGTTGCTTTTGCTTGGGTCAGTTAAGTAAAAAACCAAGTTGCTCCTGAGAAGGGACCACAATGGAGGCCAGAAGACAGAGAAGGGCATGTAAAAGCTGAGCCAGTCAGGAGAGTAGAGTGAATGGCTGGGAAAATGGATTGGGAAGGCCCTGCTACAGAGGACAGCTCCCTGCAGTAGGCACTGCAGCATAGGACTTCTTGTGGGCCCCCAGCCACATTGGCATGTCCAGCTGAGATTGGAGATTTGGGCCCGTCTGAGGTTAGAGTTTTATCTAACAAATAGGACTCAAGAAAAGCAAGGAAGAATGTGTTTGTAATTGCTGAGCATTGCAAAAGGGAGAGGATACTGGAAGGCTGAATCACAGGTGTAGTAGTAATGGGAGCCAGGTTCTGAGAAGAAAGTGCTGGAAGAAGCTGAAAGGAAGCTAGTCTTCTCACTTCAATATGTTGCTCAGAGCTTTGAGAACACAGTCATCCCTGGGTTCATGAAGACCTGAGTGGCGACTGATTGCTAAGGAGGCACATTCTGCAAGGACAATACAGCATGACATTGAGGCCACGAGGACAGAGTGAACCTAGAGCTGTCACGGGGATGGGGGTGTGGACAGACTTGTCTAAAACATAAGGTTCAAAGCTTGGGGCTTTAGCAACACATGGGAGACAAAAAGCTGGAGTTCAAGGCTACATGCCAAAGAATGACAACAAGGATGTGAGGGACATCCCCCATATGTGCCAGGCACACAACAGTGAAAGGAATACACTGAACTAACTATTCATCCTGATGAGGATGCCTCCACCACAGAGGGGATGCCCCACTCACAGTACCACTGTAGTGTGTCCTATACCCATCCCCATTCTGATGTGTCGTCTTTTATCTAGAAAAAGAAGATGGAGAATGAGTCAGCCACGGAGGGGGAAGACTCAGCAATGACGGACATGCCTCCAACAGAGGAAGTGACAGACATGGTAGAAATGAGGGAGGAAAATGAGTAAGCACAGGCCACCAGGGGCACTGCAGGGACAGTCAAGACGACAGCATCATCTCTTTCCTCCTCCCATCAAGTTGTATTCTGATTCTTTTAATTTTTGGTTATAAAAGAGGCCTTTGATTTAAAGGTTTCATATAAATTCTCTAGCATACTGGGTATGCTCACAGATGTGAGGACCTAAAGAAAGGTCTTCACTGTCACTTTGTAAACACAGAGCCGCTGACTTCATGCCCCTGCTTCATAAGAATCCAAACGATAGAGCCAGCTCCTGGTCAACGTTTCTACTCCCTTGGACAATCTCCACTCTGGAACCAAAGGACTTGGGCTATGCCATTGTCTCTCGGGCCAGACTCTTTCCTGTCTGTATTTGCCTCTTAAGAATCAACAGGTTGAAGATCAGCCTCTCTTTTGACTTGCTCGCCAATACTGTGGCTATAACAGTGACCTGGTACCCATCACACCCCATCCCACTTTGGAGTCATGAACTGTCTACCACACACACTGGTGGGCCACAGGCTGCAGCCCAGAGGTTCCCTGTTCCCAGAGGAAGAGCTGGGGGGGTCACACCAGGCCGACAGAATGGAAATTTAATCTCCTGTAGAAATTGGATTTGACTTTATCATCAATCAGCATCTCATATTGCTTTTCTGGTTTCACTGAGTTGCTGCACCCCACAGTGTATATACATGAGCTGACTTTTCAGAGTCGTACAGAAGTGCCACTCAATGTCAGCATCCTTCAGCATGACTTTCCCCGAAGGCTTGCTTTCCACTCGCCTTCCTTGAAGATGGCACTAGAGGGACAGAAGTGGAGAGTTGTAACCGTCCGTTTTGTTTTTCACAGTGAGCAGAGCTTTAAGTCGTAATCTAGCATTCTAATGCCAGGTTCCTGTCTCATAACTTCTGATATAGGTGTGTTACCTGCTTCTGCTGTTCGTAGTCACAGCTCTGCAGGACAGGTAACTGTACTATGGTACTCCCCTCCTCACCATAAAGCAAGACATTTTATAAACAAGTATCAAAGTCACTATGTGATACCCCTGAAATAATGCATTGGAAATCCATTTAGTGCAGTATATTTTTCTAAGTTTTTGGAAAACGGGTTTTTTCCTTTAAGAAAATTATGGATACAGTTCACTAAATTCCTGATTTAATCAAAAAACTACACTGAAAGAACCTAAACAAAACAAATATTTTAAAGATATAAATATATGCTGTCTATGTTATGTAATTTATTTTAGGCTATAATACATTTCCTATTTTCGCATTTTCAATAAAATGTCTCTAATACAATTCAGTGATTGCCTACATGCCCCGCATACCTAGAGCTCACTCATGTACCAGTAACCGTTGTACATTACAGCAGTTTACCAAGTCCTCTGTGTATGAATATAAGGGCCTGAAGATGCCAAGGACGCCTATGGAGGAAATGGGCCACTTGTGCAGGCAAGTAAAGGCTGGAAGGGCAAAGGATAAAAAGAAACAAAAGGCAGGCCTCTTGTGTTTAGTTTTTCATTGTGTAGTTCTCATGTTAAGACTGTAAGGGCAAAGGCTGGCTGCCAGCTACATAGGCTTGCATTCCCATTTCTGGATACCTGATGTCCTTCCAATGTGCCCACCATGGGAACAAGTCCTATGTGCTTCTGTAGCTGCTTGTGGGTGATTTCAGGGGCAGATCTGAACAGATAACTTAAAGTCTTAATTGTATTGGCTTTTTAAAGTACATGACTAGAAAATTAAACAGCAGTATTTTTTAACGTATGTGGCTACTTTCATGCTTCTGGGGTTGGAGCTCAAGTATCCAAATTGCAAAAGCAAAATCCTTTCCTTCCCAATTCAAGAAAGAACAGCTAGTGACTCTCCATTGTGCAGTTAGAACATGCAGCTTGAACTTCAGAGCCACCTTACCTCATTAAGATACATGAAGCTGTGGTAGAGTTCCTGAGGGCCTAGGATGTAGGGCCTTGGCAATGAAGCTGCAGTTTTGCAAGGTTTGTCCAGACCTTCACCTTGCAGGGAAGGCTTCTCCACACACTCCCTTCTTTGGGCCTGTTTTGTCACTTGACATCCTAAGGCAGAACTCTGAGCTGTCATACTGTTATGACAAGAACCAAGATCTCCATCACCTGGACTTGGGCAAGGGTTGCCTTTTCTACTTTCCAGAGACATTTGGGCAGTCTTCCTACTTCACCAGCCTGGTGGTGATCTTAAATATTTTTTTTCAGCTGACAAACAGAAAAGGGCCATGCCTGTAAAATTCTCCCATCAAGGACTTTGGGAAGACCAGGTATGACTTTCTGAAGGTCAAGCAACTGTAGACTATTGCAACCTAAACTTGCAAGGGCATGAGGCAGGTTTTCATTCGAATACTGAGAAGTCAGTTGAGAATGCCCAAATGAAGCCTTTCTGGAGTGAGGATTTTCTCTGAAGAAGCAGGGAGAACTTTTTCTGAGGGCCCCTGGGGGGGGGGGGTCATTCTAAGTGCACACTGGCCATTGCTCTGCCCTTGTTTACTCATCCTGGCACACAGGACACCTCTAAGGCACCAGGAACTCAGTAAACAGGATTGCTATGAGTCATGAGAGGACGCGATCCTACCACTGCAGACTGTGAATTGTTGAGAGGTTTGTGGCTAACAGGAAACTCACCACTGAGGACTAGGGTCACTGGAGAGGCCATTTGTTTGCATCTGGAGGTAAAATCTGGTCAGTCACCCATTGCTGCCATCAAAAGTACTCCTCCATTTGGAGCCATCTAATTTTTGACATCTGCTGATGGTTTGATATGGAAATGTTCGTGGAGGGCCTCAGAAATAAAACACAGTATTGGTTTAACATGTATCAGGAGAAGTACATTTGGATTGCAATAGTTTGGGTACTGTAAGCTCCACTGACTTGAGGTACATCCATGCAATGCAGCCCCTCCTGGATCTGACAGGCTTGAGACAATTACACACCTCAATCATTGGAAAGAGTACTCCATTTTATCTTTAAAGTAAGAAATAAACCACTCATTTAGTGAGTGTGGGTGTATGGACGCCTACCCTGGAGATGAAACTCCGGGCTACACAGACACCCCTCCACTGAGCTATACTTGTAGCTCCTAGGTTTCCCAACCCCCTAACAATTGTTTTCTTCTGAAATAGGCAGAGGGAAAGGAGAACTCTTCTAGATTCAGCAACTTTCTCCCCACACTGAGAGTGAAATGTGTGTTACAAAATAGGAAATACAAATATTCTGGTAATTACTTATTTTTAGGGTTGGTTTGGCTTGTTTTATTTTTGAGACAAGGGCTCTCTACACAGACCTGACTGTCCTGAAACTCACATGTAAAACAGGCTGACTTCATACTCACAGAGTTTCTCCTGCCTCTGCTTCATGAGTGCTGCAATTAAAGAGGTGTACCACCACATCTGACCTCTTGTCGTTAAACTGTTACCTTGAAAAATGTTCTTTTGCAATGGAATCTTGAAATTCGCAGGTAAATGGATGGAACTTGAAGAACCATTTTGAGTGAGGTAACCCAGTCACAAACAGAGGAACATGGTATGTACTCACTCATATATGAACTTTAGACATAGAGCAAAGGATAACCAGTCTGTAATACACACCAACAGAGAAACTAGGATACAATAAGGAAACTAAGAGATTCATATAAGGTCCCTCACAGAGGGGGAAAGTAACAAGATGTCCTGAGCATATTGGGAGTGGGTAGGGGGGCAGTGAGTAGAGAGGGAGTTTGGCAAAAGAAGGGGAGGAGAGGAGAACATGTGGGACTAGGAAGATTGAGTCGGGGAACGAATAGACGAGAACAACAACAGAGAGAGAGAGAGAGAGAGAGACCATAATGGAGGGAGCCAATATAGGTTTGAAGAGAAAACTGACTTTAGAAAAATGTCTAGAGACCTATAAGGATGACCCCAACTAGCAATCTGAGCAACAGTGGATAGGCTACCTTAAATGTCCTTCCCTGATAATGAGATTGATGACTAACTCATCTACCATCATAGAGCCCTCATCCAGTAGCTGATGGAAACAGAAGCAGACACCCACAGCTAAACACTGAGCTGAACTCCTGGAATCCAGTTGCAGAGAGGGAAGAGTGAAAAGAGGTCAAGATCAGGCTGGAGAAACCCAGAGAGACAGCTGACCTGAACAAGGGGGAGCTAATGGACCCCCAGACTGATAGCTGGGAAACTAGCATTAGATCAACTCAGACCTCTGAACATGGATCTCAGTTAGAAGGCCTGGGCAGTCTAAAGGACCTCTGACAATGGAACCAGGATGTATCCCCTGGTGCAGGAAAGGACTTAGGGAGCACATTCCCCATGGAGGGATACTCCCTTAGCCTAGAGGCAGGAAGGAGGGCTTAGACCCCACTCCAAATGACTTGACAGATTTTGATGATCCCTCCTGGAAGGCATCACCCTCCCTGTGGATTGGGGGGAATGGGATGGGAGGGGGGTTGGGGGGCATGGGAGGGAGAGGGAACTGGGATCTATACGTAAAATAATATATATATATAATTATATATATATATATGAAAAATGTTTTCTTGTACTGATTTTTTTCCCTGCTTCAGTAAACAGTGAGATCGGAACATTATGTGCTGGTTTGTGGTAACCTGTCAGGTGTCAGGCCTAGGGTATTACAAGAGAGCTAACTGCCAAACTTACAATGAAACCTGCCCAGCATCAGGAGAGGGCTCTTCTTGTTCTCCGTGCTGCCCACACTTTTATAACTAATATAATGCTGTCTCTGGTAGGACCTGGGAAGGCGAGGTGACTTTTATCTGTGCAAACTCAGTGGTTTCTTCTGCCTTCCCACACAAGCCCTACACAAGGCTCTTTTATAAAAAGTATTTGAAGCATCAAAAAGCATGGTTTTGAGCAATGTATTTGGAAACCATGAGAGATACTTCTCTGTGTGGTTATTCTGAGCCTCTATTTTTGTCATTTGAAGAAGCAAAACATCAGGTGACTCATCAGCTGATCTAACCACACATGAAACAGGATGTAGTGGAAATCTGAAGGAAAACGTAAGCAAGCCAGGGTCCCCTGCTCATTCAAAGGCTAGAGACTAAAATGAACACACCAAAGCTAAGGAGGAGAGAAACAGGACTGTAATAAAAACAACCCAAACTCCACTTAGAAGTCAGGAAACACAATTCATTGCATAATTTACTGACTGATCTCAAAAGGGAAAATATAGACAAGTAGACTTTTAACTTCATTTTTCCCTTCATGAGATGGAAGGTCAGTTGTTAGCTCTAACTGCGGTGGCTCCCTGCTGGAAAAAGCACAAATTCTCCACTAAGTACAAGTGGTTCCAGAATTGTAACTTGCACCTTCAAAAATTTTAGTAATGAATTTTTAAGATGTTCATTTAGTGCCTGTCTTTGTGTACATATGCACACTTTAGTGTAGAGGTTCACACAACAAGGAGTCCAGAATCACTGTCTTGTTTCCTTGGAAACAGGATCTCTTTATGAACCAGGGGCTCAAATTCTATTGCCCAAGTTGGAAGCCATCAAGATCCATCAATCTTGTCTCTGACCCCCAAGGCTTGTATAGTGGATGTTGGGATCCAAACTCTTGTCCTCATTATTTCAGGAAAAACACTTTTAACCACTAAGCTATCTCTCCTTCATTTATAAAGAACCAGAATCCCTCAAAGCCTGGCAAAGGAGAGATATACTTTTAGAGATAGCTATCAGACAGATACACATGGATGGACTTGGTGAATGTTTTTATATAGTACCTCTTTTCAGTTAGGCCATGTAGTTCCAAGTGCATTTTACTAGCAAGACTTGACATCTACTTCTGTAGAAACAAATGTCAACTAATACAGACCTTGAAACAACAAGAACTGCAAGTATTTTTATACCAGAAGTAAGAGTTCCTTGATGAACAAGAAAAGTAATGGAGACAGACCAGCTAAAACTGGTTCTAACAGCAGCAGTAAAGTCCCACCATGGGTGCACAGCATCAGAGGAAGGCAGACTTACCTTAAGCCAGGCTGAAGAGATAGGCAGAATAAATTCCTTTAATGACATACTGTACTTCTATTTCCCAGAACCCCAGCCCCCATCCCAGTCCCTCAAAGCTGCCTTGGGGTTCAGCTGGGTCCTTTCTCCAAAAGGTACAACAACCTCCCATTTTTCTGTCTCCTTTAAAATACAGGCAGGATGCTAACTATACCTTTCCCAGTACTCTGGAATTCTGTGTTTTGTTTTGTTTTCCCTAATGCTCCTCTGCCCACCATGAGGCTGCCTGCTGTAGTGTAGCATGGCTTTCTTCCTTCTCCTTTCTCCTCTAGGCAACTACTGAGGTTTACAGTATGCTTACTCTGGGAGTGTTCCTTTAAGCATTTACGAAACTGTCCCCATGCTCCCAGTTGATCCATTTCAATAAAACACTCAATGAGACCAAGAACCCCAAGAGGGTACTCCAGTCCCTTCACTTTGAGTAAACCTTGATCTTGACTTTCAAACTCCTGCCTTCTAATTCTTTAATCGGGGGAGGGGGGGACACTTATTCCTAACTCTAGACCTATTAGCTGCCTCCAGTATAGTGGTTTCCAACCAGGCGTCCAGGAGAGGTCTCCTTTGGAACTAGAGAACATTATTAGTCCAGACGACTCTGATTCCTAAAAGGCTGTGTGTTTCCAAGCATCTGAAGGTGAAGGCCATACATCACAGGAGCTACCACTCCAGTGTCAGGCATGTCACCATGAAGCAGGCTCATTATCCCAGAGTT